TTATTGGCATCAAATTCAAAATGGGCATATATTTTTCAAAAAACAATATATTTTTTTCAGTTTTAACATTTGATATGTTGTCTTTGTACTATTGTCAATTAAATATAGGCTTTAAATGATATACACATCATTGCATTTTGTTTGATTTACATTTTGCAGAGCGTCCCAATTTTTTTGAAAATGGGGTTGTAATAAAGTTTCACTCTAGAAAACCTGAAAGTGATTTTGTCCTGTTTTCCATTACATTATGTGAAAAATATTTTCGCTGTCCATGGTTAGAGACATCTCTGTTTATATTTCTGAAAACTTCTTTGACTAAAATACTGACAGCTTAAAATACTTAAAGCTCAAACATTGTGTCATTGGTGTTACTTGTGAAGTGATTTTAAAATTAAAATAAAATAACAACCTACATGGAATATTTGTAATGTTCTACATACAATGTAACTTTGAAGCTAAAGTGGCAAAGGACTTTATTTTAGAAAAGCTCTGATTTTAGTACTTTGTCAGTGGTGTCGCAGTCAGTGGTAATACAACTTCACTGATGTTTAATATAACAGACGTTATATTTTACACTTTATTTCAACATTTATACCAATATTTTTTGATACTGAATTTCATCATCATCACCCATTTTGCTGAAAATCACTGTTTAGTAGCATTCAGCACAGGCATCCCTGGAGTAGACCAGGTGCACATGAAGCATGTGGCCTTCTCTCTGAGCTGGGACTGATCTATTTGTGAATATAGGTCATGTTTGGTTGCTATTCTTTTGGAGCATCTTCCTATGGAAAAATTACAATCTAAGGGAGCAGGACTTTAACATTTAGCTCCAGGCCTCTGTTCTGCTAATGCCGTCACTGTAATGTCCCTATTAATCCATTTGATTCAGTAGAGGCACACTAAAGCCAGATGCTGCAAGGCTAATGAGTCACAAAGCTAAGGCCCTTCCCCCACCACACACACACCACTCACACACACACAAAGGGCAGATGAATCAGGTGGCTCCAAATGAATCAGGTGTGGCACATCTTCCACTTAACTGCTTCTTATCCAGCATTTAAACGTTGCTAGTGAAATCACATGATCTTCATGCTGGCATTTCTCTTAACAGTGTTACCACAGGCCTCATCCAAAATTGAGGCACTGAAATATGAATGGAAGTCATGCTTGGTTGTGAGTTAGTCCTACTTCACACGGCTAATCATACGTGATTGCATTTGAATATAGAAGTCCCTGCTAATGGGTAATGTGATGAAAAATACAATCCTGGTCCCTCGAGACTCTGGAGCTAGTTAAAAGAGGAGAGAAATGAGAGACAAAAGGATTAGCCTCCGAATCTTTTATTCTACTTTGGCAGTGGGTATGTTCACACACAGCCTGGAAATTCGTAGATCTTTGTTGAATATTTGAAACCTTTGATGTACTGATGTCTGACAGCAAAACTTGGACAAATTAACAGCATAAAGTCATTCTGGTAAATAGACAGAATTTTAATAACTTACTGATTAACCCCTTTTCATAGTAGCCATAAAATACAATTTCCTTCTGTTTTGGAGGTGCAATATTTTTTCTACAGTAATGTTGATGGCATATGTTTATATGATGGAAATATGTATGATTTGCAAAACCGTAAATAAACTGCATTTTCACCTTCATAAGTGAGCAAACAAGTCCGTATGGAAATCTGATATAGCAGAGGGGCATCGGACCACAGGTAATGGTGGACCTGACATACCAGGGCCCTGCCTTGTTGGAAGACCCTTTAAAAGCCTTGCAAGTCATATTTATTTTGGTTTCTAATTTTGCTCATTTCTATTATTATAGAATTATAGAATAATAACGATAAGTGTATCCTTTATCTGCTTGTCTGCCTGCTTCCTGCCTTTTAGATTTAAGTTCACTTACCAAGATACCATGTTTTGCAGTGAAAGCACAACTTACCTCATTGTTAGCTGTTCCACTCTTATATTCATATCAACCAGCCTAATAAAGAAACACAACACAATAAACATAATTTTTCTTAATATTTTTGGGAGGGGGCCTGGGCACACTACTGTGCCAGGGGCCCAAAATTTGGTGCTATGCGCCTGGATGTGAAGTCTGTACATAGCAGAACATGCTTAGAAGCAATACTCATCTACAGCCACTTACACCAATTACATGTGTGGCCTAATTATTGATGACTCACCATTTGTTTTCCATAATGCTCCCCGTTATGCATTAGCTGTCATCGCATAGATTCTGAGTGCGCTTCAGTGACTTCCAGTCATGCGCTATTTGACCAGCATGGAGGCCAAGAAGATGAATCAGATTTGTATCACATATTAAAGTGTGTCAGTTCACTTTCACTTGAGCACCCTTCTCTCTGATAGGAAGCGAGCGGAGAGGTGTTACTCAAGTCTAATACTTCCCCAGCCATTCATGAGAAAACAGGATTAACAGCAGGAACAACCGATTGCTCTAGATCTACTGACAAGTTCTGACTGAAACAAATTCATCATTTAATCAATTATAATTGCATTCAGACTCATTCACACAACAACTCTAATGAGCTAAGATTACACAAGTCAGATTATTAGAGAGGCTTGGATCAATAAAAGAGCCCCTAGATGTAATGTTAAGCCCTTGAAACTAGGGTTGCACAATAATATTGGTATCGTTTTCTATAACTGCTTAATAAAATAAACAAAGGTTATATTTCTCTCTAATGCTGATCCAGACCGATTTAGTACCAATTTCTACATTTTGTGAATGTTTATGTATTCGCTTCGTCAGATACGTACATGAAACATATTACATAGAATTCCGATATTGTTGCTTTTCATATGAGTAAGTCAATGGAAATTCCTTCAAACTGCAGTGATGAGATCTTTTTGGGAGGCCGTATTGTACAAAAAGCATATGGCACCAATTGAATTCAGTATTATATCATCTTTGTTATAACAAGACCTTGTATATTGAAAAATCACCGCTTTATAGGAAGCGGTATAACTTCATTGTATGTTAAAGTAAAAAGCAATGATATTCTTCATGTGGTGCTCATGTGGAGCTGCAGTACACTGAGAATTCAAACAAGATTCCTGCTTTAGCATGGTGGGCTCACACTTGGCCTTAAGCACACTCAGCTCAGTTAGTCATATTTTAGTGAGGTGAACATGCTTTACATGATTAGCCAGGCCTGCTAAAGCCAAATCTGGACTGGAGAGCCATAGACTCAATTCTAAGTAATTTTTAATATAGTGGTGTTTGATTCACTTTATTCTGCCGAACAATAACAAGGAAAAAGCACCCAAAAATAGATCCTTATTCAATCACAGAATGTTTCTTAATATAAACTGCGAAACCATGTACAGCAAAACATCTATGATTGTGATCATAACTGACTCAGAGTGGTTTGTAACATCATGTTCTTGCTGGGGCATTGGACTTCAATAAAGCACTCTTAAAATGAGGAGCAAACACATAGCCCATATATTAAGGGTACTTAGATAACTAATGACCTCCCACCCACCCAGTGTACATTCAGCTGACCCTCTTGTAATCTATTACAAGAGCTGTAATTAAAAGCCCATAATTATCATGCCTCTGGAGAATCAAATGAAGTTAATAAGTAGCTTCTGCAGCTCACAAAGATTTCATTCACTGGCATGCTTTTATGGACCAAAACACTATCATTATTCAAAACAATGCAGGGCCTCTGAACATAGAGGTGAATGTGTTTCACTGAGCTTCAATCTAAATGACAGTTATGAAAGTGCATGTATGGTTACCAGCTGGGCCAGCTGAACAGTCTATGCGTTATAGAATAAGAATTCTGTTATATCTCAAAGAGTGTAATCACAACTGAGGCTTCCTCAAAACTATTATCTAATAGGCTGTATGACTTGAAAAATTAGTTTAATTGGCAGATCCAAGCTCTGGCCACAAATGCATTTTTTCACAGCAACTGGTGAAAGGTTGCACAAGCTTTATCCAGCCTTGTATCCAACATTGGCAAAAATCCCATTCAACCTAATGAATTTAGGTTTGCATTTAGATTCACAATATAGAAGTTTCCAGAATAACCCTTTAAATTCCCCAGCTAAGGCTTACTATTCATACTGTAAAAAATAAAAAATAAGAAAACTTCACATGGTAACAAGCAATTTTATTCAACTCAAATAAACTGAATGAAACGATCCAGAGCAAAATTATAGGTTTGAAGAACAAAAGCAATAATTTACATCAATTCAAACCTCAAGACACTTACAATCCACTTCTGTTCTGTTTCACTCTTACACTGCAGCAATTACATGGAAAAGAATGGAAAATGACTGAATTATTCTTAAGTTTTAGAAGTGAGGACTGCTTGTGGATTCTGCTCATTTAACAGGTGTTAAATGGCTATAGACTATGTTGTTGTTACTAACTCAAACTAGGCAGTGAATCTGACAACAAACGGCAATGAATTTGCCATCATGCTAACAGTGGCTAAATTACACAACATAAAAACTACACCCAATATACCAGTGTAACCTTTCACACCCATACAATATAGATATCATTTGAAATTAATAAGACTAATTTTTCAGACACTGTTTTGTGCTACAATTTCTCATGAGATTAAATTGGATTTTTGCCAACATTCTATTAAGTTGCTACAAAATAATGCATTCATGGGCGGGGCATGGATAGGTCAACTGGATGAGAATGGAGAATGTTATTGGAGATATATGAGACACCTCAGTCATAACTACACTGCAATGAAAGAAAAGTCAAAATGAGCATGGTTTGTTCACAAACTCACTACCATACATGACTAACAAACATGAAATTACAGTATAAAATTAATCTCAACACTGTCGGAACAAAACCTCCTATCTCTAAAATGGTGACTTTACAGGAGAAGGAAAAAAACATTCTTAACTTGTAATGGAAGTTAATGTAACACGATTTTTTTCCAAGTAATTAAGGACCATTTCTGAATAACTAACAAAATATTTTCAAATAATGCCAAAAGTACCAAAAAAAAAAGACAAAAATGGAGACATAAGGTTTTTGCATGACTGCAATAACTGATAAAAACATGTAATATTCTCTATAAATGAAAAGCTCTTTGATCAAGATAATTTATCATTTTATTTTCAAAGTATGTACATGTTCATTTCTGTAATACTGTAAAAAGCTTATAATGAAATTCACATTATGGTCAAATGGCCCATGAGGGCATGACAACAACACCACAGGGTTTGTGTGTGTCTGGGTCATGGACAAACCTGACCTAGAACTGAAACCCACTGCTCTATGTAGCACAGAAAACTCATCACACACTCCTCGAAACAGATTTATGCTTGAGGGCAACTGTGAAAAGTATGCCACAAACCTGTGAGGTCCACTGAGGGTGGTATAACAAAAAATTCAATCTTCTGTTAACAATAGCAAAAAAGTGCACCTTTACATTAGCTGGGAGAGGGGACAAGTTGCAGTAAAATGACAGTAATTTACAGGGCAAAGATAAAGGACTGGGGTGTTGGAGTGCCAATGAATAATGTAGTGCGAGAAAATTTACTGGAGAAAATAGTTACAAAAAAGTTCCCAGTGCATTTCATGTATTTATTGTGCTGTCTCACATCATTTGATGGGAATAGGCCTATGAGTCATATAAAGCACTGTGACTGGCTATTGGGGCATCAGAGGCTTTCATGCTTGTCGACCTTTGAGGGTGTGGAGGGAGCTGCAGTCTTGCTCTGCTCTGCCTGCTGCTGTCTGGCCTGCAGCTCCTTTACCTCAGCTAGTACCTCCCTTGCTTCCTCCCAGGAAGAGATAGCTTCTTGTAGCAGACGTTCAGCTGCTGCCCTCCTGCTTTCCCAGTCCAGTGCCTCACTGAGAGGGGAGTCTGTGCCCTTTGGCCCTTTAAAATGGGGTGAACTTGTAAGCCACAAATTGGGCGAGTCTACACCCTTTAAATGGGGTGAAATGGAGCCAGCAGAAAGAGGTGAGTCTGAACTCTTGATACGGGTCAGGTCGATGCATTTCATACGAGGGGAGTTGGAACCCTTTGAATCAGGCGAGTCGATGCTTTTCGAGCGGAAGTTGGTCTTGGAGTGAGGGGACTTTGAGGACTTCAAACTAGGAGAATCTTTTGCTTTGACACGAGGAGAGTCCTTTGTCTTTGAGCCTGGTGAATCCTTGGCCTTGAGTTGAGGAGAAGATTCTACACTTTTGCCGTGAGTTGAGCTGTGAGAGCTGGAGCTTTTGGAGTGAGGCGACTCTGAGCCCTTTAAGTGTCGCAGCCTTGGGGAATCAATGCCCCTCAAATGGGTGTAGGAGCCCATTCGGCCCCTGTGCGGCTCCTGCTCCTGAACCTTGGCCAATAGCTCCTGGGTCCTCTGTAGCCGCTGGTTGATGAGGTCCTGCAGGTGGCTCGTTGGACTCTGGGCTAATGTGGCCTGGTGACTGAAACCGTCCCTCTTGATGGGCCTCCGTTCTCCACGGGACAGAGCGTCATCCATGGAGCCGCAGCGACTTCTACCCTGAGCTAACATCTTCTTGCCAGGTTGAGGAGTATGAGTCTGGCTTTGGTGGCTCCATGAAAGCTCACTCCCACGGGGCAGGCTGCTGGTCTTCACCCTGGCCTCGACAGGGGTCACTCGAGGCCTGGAGGCATCTGTGCCAGCGCGCTTCCGCCCAGGAGCCAGAACATCTAGGTTACCCCGATGGTCCTTTACCCACACTGCATAATCCTCCTCCAGCATGCTAGCATCCTCCTCATGCACCAGGTCCAGAGTTAGCATCCCATCTGAAGAAGTGGAGGCCTGTGGGTGCATCACCATCATTCTCAGAATCACTGATGCCCTCAGTTCTGGCTAGAAACGTTTTTTAACTTGGTTAAATAATAAATCAGGAAGAAATTTTAACCACTTAAACTCTAGGCATTTAAGTTATTAATCTTAAAGACTTTTTATCCAGTGACCACCATGAATTGACCTATTCTCTGCTCACAAATGCATTTTTGTGTAACAACTGTTTTGAGGTTAGACAGGCCTCACAAAATGCTAACAAGAATTCCATTCAGCATAATGATTTAGGCTGGAGTTTAGATTTGCCAGACAATATTTAGATTACAGTTTAAAATGGTGCACTACAAAGCAGGTCTATGCTGTTAATGTTATATGTAATCAAACCTAGGCAGGTGGGAAAAGACAATAAACTTGCCACCATGCTAATTATGTATATTCTAATACTTTAACCTTTTACACACATACAAAATAAATGTCATTTAAAATGTATTATGCACAAATGTCTCATTAAACTGAATGGGATTTTTCCAAATGTTCTGTAAAACCTGTCCAACCTCATAACAGCTCTAACACAGAGTACAATTGTGAGCAAAGCATCGACAGGTCAATTTTTCAATATCTACCATAAAGATAATATGCATTTCTGAGAATAAGGAACTGAAAGTTTAACCCTTTAAACTCTAGACTTTAAGTTGTATTCTAGTAGTTTCAGTTAAGAAATGGTTCAACAAAATATGCAATTCGCAAAATTTTTTACTTGCCCCAGAAGTAGTCAATCTGTAAAGGGGTTTGGCATCCACATTTTGCTTTTTTAATTTAGAACTGGAGCAGCAAGGCTAACACTGTTAGCAAACACTATAACTCACGCAAACAGCCAAAATCTTTTCTGTAAAAATACATCACCAAAACTTCTTTCAACCTGCTCAAACTGCATCCGGGTCTCATTAAGGTTGCGCAGACTTGTCGAAGTGGTTTAGGACACAGTGTGACTTACTGTGAACTATATAAATTAACAAAACTAGTGTTGTCTGAAATGGCTGCCTGTAGCAATGCAGTTTGGTTCATTTTTATAGCTCACAGTAATTCACACTGTATTCTAAACACTGACAGGTGTGTGACATCAATCCTGAATGTGGTTTGAGAGGGATGAAAGAAATTTTGGTGATGTATTTTAACAGAAATGATTTGGGCTATTTGGATGACTATTGAGTTTGAGTGTTTGTCAGCACTGGAACTTGACACGTAGCTCTAGTTCCAAAGTACAAAAGCAAAATTTGGACTCCAAACATGTCTTGGTTGATTGACCACATCTGGAGTAAGTGGAAAACTGGGTAAATTTGATTTTCTGCCAAATTTATCCTTTAATAGTACTATCTTTATCTTTAGATTTAGCTGTACCTATATCTACAGTCTCAAGCATTTGACCCCTGGTCAAATGACATGATTTGCTGATTTTCTGAGTGAAAATAAGTTCATACATCCTCTACAGAGAACATATTTCTGCACATTTTAATGCACAGTTACTGTTTTTTTGTTGAATTTACCATATTAGAAAAAAATAAGCATAAAAGGTGGCCTTTAATTGTGCATTGAAATGTCCAGAAGTGTGTTCTTTAAAGTGGATAACTTACTGTCACTTCAAACTTTTGCATGTGACTGTTTATATATTACACGCTCAGATTTAAAGAAAACATTTTAGAACACAGAGGCCTGTGCTTTGCACCAGCTCTCAGCAATCTGCACAAAAAAAACAGCAACTGACTTCTGACTGAGCTCAAAGTCAATGCTGAAATGCCACCCACCACAGCCATAAGATGACCCCGCGTGGGCAGGCGGCGCCCAAGTGGGATCTTGGCACGATCACGTGTCGGGTGAGCCAACAGGCTTTCCTCCTCAATTGTGACCTGAAAAGAGAAAAATGGAGAAAATGCCAGGTAAAGCAAGCATGACTTACCACTGTTTTTTTAGAAAGCTGATATGAATTTGAATATGTCCTTTAGGGTTAGTAATTTACAAGACATGACATATGATACAGCTAGCTAAATTTAGTGAAAAGCGCTAATTAACTCTGCATGTTTGTAATACAGACAACTCTGCAAGCAATCTCACGGTTCCGTGTGTAGAATGTGCTTCATATATAGGAACTGCTTAATTTACAGATTTAGAGTGAGTTCATATGCTGTGCCTTCACACCTCACACTTTCATAGAAGATGAAGTGTTAGTACCACTGGGATTACAGTCAAACCGAGTTCACAGCTAACATCTGAGCGTCAGCTCTAACAGAAGGCTGTTGTTAGCTTTTTGCATACAGGAAACTAAGGGTAAATGACATTACAACATTCAGGGATGGCTTCTTCTAAAATGAGACGCTTCACTGAGGCAGAAATCATGGAATAAGAAACTAAGCTGACCTGCGTTCCTAAGCTGACTTTATCTGATTTCTGCCTGTCAGAGCCGTCAAGCTTTATGTCGGCTAAAAAGCATTTAGCTGAAATGTCTTTCAAGAGGACGTCCAGCACAGGGACAGTAGTGACAGTACATTTTAGTCAGCTGCAGTGCTTTGTGGTTCCCTCAAAAAGGATTACAAAGACAAATCTTTCTATCCAATTCAGCTGTATCCTCTCTAATGGTGCAAAAAGAATGCAAACCTAGACATAGAGACAGATGGGGAGGGGGGGTAGCAGCAGACCAGAAGAGGGAGAGAAAAGAGCAGAAATATATATGGACAGATCCTGTGGATAAAAACAGCAGAGGAAAAAAGCCAACATAGGAAAGAGTGGGTGGGCGTGGGAGCATGAGACCGAGAAACAAACAATTATGGCTGAAAATATGAGATGAAAACAATAAGAAACAAAAAAAAAGAACCAGAAAGATGCTTTCTGCTCACCTCATCTAGAACACGGTTCTTGGCTCTGATAATAGCTGTGTTCAGAACATTGATCCAAGACTCCTTCTCTTCCGGACTAACAGCCAAAAACACGAGATTGGGCGTCTAAGGGAAAGACATTAATGAGAAACTGTATCCAACATTTTTTTTTCAGAATATTTTCTTAATATCTTCTGATATGAAGAGCGGAACTGTTTAGTCAATGATTTTGATAGCAGCGCTGAAAGAAGTAGCGAGAGCAAGAGGGGCGGATTACAAGCGCTGCTAGGATTTAAGCTTTGCGTGAAGCACAAAGCCAGCCAAATTCTGCTGTAAAGCATCTCCACATGCTCCTTAAAATCACCATAAATGAATTAAAGTCTGGCTCAATCTACAGCAGGCAGAATGAGGTAAAGGGAGAGGGCTTTGCGTCTTAACAAACTTAGAAGAGATAAAGAAAGATAAGTATTATTTCTTAATCCTGGAGCTCTCTTTCTCTTTCTTACAATGCACAAGCTAACACACACACACACGTCCAAGAAATGTGATGTGCAAACTCCCCAGCTCTCAAAACCTTGCAAAAATTATGAATTATTAATTTACTGAAATCTAATATTCCACAACGAGCATATTTAATAAGATGTAAAGCTAATACATGAAGTAATCTTTAGAGAAAATTGAACAGGATGAAGATACATACAAATTAAAAGACACCATGCGCCTTATGAATGACAGGACACTCACAGGGGGTGACACATATATTAGCTTGAGGAGCTGTGGTTGTGACAGAGCAGTTCAGCGCAGTCTAGAACTGAAGCTGGACTGAAGTTCATTATGTGTTCTGTCTTCCACAGGAGAGGATACTCTTGGCAGTGGCAGAGCAATAGGATTAGTGCATGTATCTGTCAAAAGAATGTACTGTAGAAGAAACTGCATTTTAATTATCTGACTGCAGTTGGAACACAGTTTCAGTTTTGATAGTACCCTTGTTTGTCTTGGTCAGTTGTAATGAACAGAATTTAATTTGGACAGTGGATCTAAAAATGACTAGCCAGATGTTTTATTGAACACACAGATATACAGTACAACTGCTCATCTTTTAGTGTAACTCATAATGGGGCTTATTGGGATTTTTTTGGGAGGGGGATTTTTAACCGTTTTTGTCCTTCTACGTAGCCCAATGCTACTCTCTTAGAAAGGGTGGTTCTACAAGGGTTCTTTAGTAAAGGGAATGATTCTATATAGAACCATTTCATGTTTAAATAGTTCTTTGCATGGTGATTTTTTTTTTCAGATTGATGGAGAATGTCTTTATGTGGTTTCACATAGTACCAAAAGGGTTCTTCTACTGTTACAAGCATGACATTGTAACAATAGAAGAACCCTCTTTGGCGCTATATAGACCCATTTTCAAAAAGGTTCTATATAGAACCATATACAACACATTCATCTGAAAAACAATTTCACCATGCAAAGAACTATTTAAGCATGAAATGTTTCTATATAGAACTAATGGTTCTAAATAGAACTATTCTCCTTACGAAAGAACCCTTAAAGAACCATCTTTTTACAGAGTGTACTAAGCCGGGACAGCAAAAGCTAGCATGTGCTTACTCTGAGTCATGTGAAGCATCAATGAATCTTTTGGCATAACTGCACACAACGTCAATAGACAGGTCAACTGCCAATTCTGTTACGTCAGCTAACAGACGCTCATGTTGGCTAGCATCACTAGCCGTTAGGCTCTCTTGGACTTCCAGCCATGGATGGCTGTGGTATTGCTGGGGATTGAACTCGTAATAAATGTTGTAACATCAACATCCATTTTACCATTAATATATGTTAAGAGATACATTGCTATGATCAGTCTACTCATGATAGGGTCAATGCTCAGACAACTGCACCACTTGGGAGCCCTGGATGTTCTAGTTTCTCATCTATGATTCATAAGTAAACCATTAGTTTTCACAATTTTCTCCTTATGCCAAATATAGTTGATTAGACAAGACATGTCTGGTATCTGAAATCTGCTTCTTTTGTATTGCACTGGAGTAACTTAACGATGGCATGAGTAAAGTGTGTGGTGATTTAATGTTAACTGATGGCCATAAGCTTCCATTACTTGTCACATTGGCCTCATAGCTCCAAAGCAAAATTAATTAAAACAGACTTTGAACACCAAACACAGCTAATGAACTAAATATGGGATAAGAGGAAGATTGTGTGCATTTCTTACCAACATACACTGGTATAGAGGCCTTTTCTACAATAGACCTCTCATTTAAATAAGACTTAAGTTCTAAATTAATTCAGACTCATGATCAAAAATGATTTACTTGACGTCACTATTTTATGTATAAGTCTTTTTGTTTTGAATGATTGTGTTAATACTTTATTTTTTAATACATGCATCTTTATTGTGCTGGTTCATGTGACTGTTGGTGGGCAGGTAACCTTATGATGTCACTGCTGGCCACTATATAAACTATTTTGCCTACTGAAGACCATAGAGGTTGAAACTTTGTATATATATATTTCAATAAATAAGGGAGCTTTGAGATATGTAGGATGCAGACTTCCACTGTTACATTTTTGACAGAACCATTCATTTAACCTCCCTGCACCTCTGTCTGGGCCTTTCTGTGGCACATCCCTCTGCGAGGACTCACCCGAGTTGCGGACTGGCGGCAACGCAGGAGGGTGAACTTGCTGAGGTTCTTCTTGCTGTGGCTCTTGGCTTTGCGCACCTCCTCTGAGCGCTCATACTCAGCCAGATCAAACACCTCATGTGTCTTCCCATCATTCTTCATCTACAGAAAAAGGGAAAAAACGGTTAACAACATCCACACAACTGGAGCACTCCACCAAATAGAAGGGTACAATTTGATGCTCATGTTTCGATTAATTGACAGCCATCTGCGGCCCTTTCACATGCTGGCTGTGCTGCTGACAGTGGGACACAGCAGGCCATATTGACTTCAGCCTGAGGGACAGGGGTAATTACTGATCACTGTTAGTGTCAGGCACACGCTGGGACAGAGAGTGCTCAAAGCTCACTCCACAAAGACATGACTACAATTGAAAAAAGGGATTACTAATATCATCTCACACATAATGTCCAACATACATTCCTTCCAAGGTCTGAATGTTTAAAATCAGGTGTCATACCACATGTGGCAAGAGAATTAAACACTGAGGAACACTTAATTATTAATTAACTATTAATAACTTAATTATTAATTAACTATTAATGAATTATGAATGCAAGCAAAGTTTGGCAGTATTTAATCCATAAAATCTGAGATAAAAAATTTGTTAAATAGATCGGAGATTACGGAGCTTACAGTATATTGAGCTGTAAATTGGGCTATGTTGTATATTGTCATTGTCGTATCAAAACCTCAATTGTTTTTACTATCATTCTTTTACATCATTTGATAATACAAGCTGTTCTTTACATTGTGTAAACATCTCATGACAAATGGACCAATTTATTCATGTAATATGTTAACTTACATTAAAATTTAAGAAAATGTTTTCTCAATTCCCTGTAAAGTTACCTGTTTGGAGATTTAGTGAACAAGGTTTTATTACTTAAACATACTTGTACGCCTGTCTTAAAATCTCTTGAAAGTTCACTGTTAAATTAATTGTTTAAACAAAACACAACGCTTAGAGTGGCCATTCTGCTTCAGACAAAGGCAAGTGGACTGAGTGAACTCTTTTCCGTTGGTCCAGCCTCTCTTCCTATTATTCTGCCAGTGACTCGTCTGTGAAAAAGCCTCATTTAAACACAGGTCAATCCTCATTAAAGCTGTCTAAGTAAAAAAAAAATGGAGAGCTTTATTGAGCCTGAGAGTGGGGTCAGGAAGCTGTTCCCTTTTGGGCCTACAATTCCCAGAGGGCCACAGTTCAGGCCGCAGGAGTTCATGTCGAGACAGTGGGTGGAATAAGAAATATCAGTGGCACCTCTGTATGTCGGTCCAACAGTAGTGGCTTCATAGGCTCACTAAGATGGTACATGGACAGATACAGCATACTGGGTCACAATTCTGTATGGTTGCTAGGCATTCACCATAGCAACAGAAATGAGCAACAAAGGAATCCACTGTCAGTGAGCCAGCGCAAGTCAAAAAGATCAAAGTGCTCCGAGTTCGTGGAGTGTAATATCAAACAGCACGCGTAAAAGCACAGCAACCCCACCCTCATTAGCAGACAGACATACTGCAATATACTCAGCAGGAACACACTCTAATAAAAAATCAGACAAAGAAAAAATATACAGGTATGCCCAATACTGGTGCACGTAACCTCATTCTTCCTAGTTAACCGGCCTCCTGAGGTTATAATGCGAGTGTGCGCTGACAGTGAGAGAGAATGCGCAGGCTAATGCTAATATGGGGCAAAAGACCCCTGAAGGAACACGCATGGCCTCCCTCCATCACATCAATATTTCACTCCCCTGCTGTTGGCCCAGCACGTTTCAGGCAGGGGGCCATCCTCATCCCAGGATTAACCACATCCAAAAATAACCCGCTAACCAACCAACCTCATACTGACAGCGAGGACTTTCAACTCAGTACAAAAATCACGAAAAGGAAAACATACGCTTCCTGAAGTGTCCTGTTATGAATTTTGCATGCTTTTATTAACATGGTGAGGCCATCATTCTCAGAAAGCAATGCTGAAAACATAAGACTTGTAGGACTTCTTCTGGTATGAAGCATGACTGTATGACTTGGCTGCTTAATGAAGATGCAAATTTCCAGCAGTGCACTAATGATTTTTGGAACGTAATACTAGAAATGAAACCACGGGGTCTGTGTTACAAACATGGCTGCTCTACAGCAAGTTGTTCACTGTAAATGCATGGCAAACAGAGCAGTGGGACTATGAACAGAGAGCCTGCGCTGGAAACCTTCACAGGGGAACCATAAAGGAAGTTCCTATTAGTTTGGCTCCAAACTGTAGTCAACATGAATTGAATACCCTGCAATTACATGCCCAAGGGTTTATTTCTGTACAAACTAGGTTGGAATTAAAGGTGGAAAAAGGATTTGCAAAATCCCTTGAATCATAGCGGAAAACACTCTTAAATCTGGTTGGCAACGTTATTTTTGAGGCCACCCGGCTCTCCCAAAATAGAAATCAACATCATTAAAATAATGGGCATATGTAAACCTCTCAGGCTTGTGCCACACGAAATAAATGACAATGCTATGCACACTAACAGATCATGATTCACTGTGTGAGTGATTACACTGCTATTGCAGCAGGCGCATTTACATCTATAATAAACCTCTGTTAGATCAGTCTTACTAGTTTATACTACAAATAACAAAGCTCATGCATAAATCACACAGTGTACTGCTGTGTAGTGCAGGTTGCGTGATTCAGTTCTGATGGGAGCTTACAGAAAGGGCTGAGCTGGTATTAAGATTCATTTACTATCCTGCCACTCATGCAATCAAAGTAAAGCTGATTCTGGAACATCACTTTATTGTCCACCTAACCAAATATTTCCTGGCTTGGAATATTTTTGCTATCTTAAAACCTGAGTTAGATTATTTAAATCTATTATCATCTAAAATATCAGAATAATCTAAAGCTTCCTGTGCAACCAATAATTGTTGCTTGTATAAAAGCTAATTCGTACACTTCCAAATGAAACATTATGGAAGGTCTCAGCAAGCTGAGCATTTTAACACAATGATAGGTGAGGGTGGGAGGGTAAGGTAGAACATGATATTTTTGCTTAATATTATTTTCCCAACTTGCTTTTATCACTGTGATGTAAGCAAAAACCTGAAGATCTGAAAATGGGACAAAAGTCATTACATTTTGTGGTGGAAGATTATGGGGAACCAAGAATTTTGTCTTTTAAATAATATATGATGAATCATGAAATATCATGAAGGGGGACCAGGGATATGAAGTAACTAGGTACAAAAACATCAATTGTGATATCAGGTTGGCTTAAACAAGTTCTGCTCTTGAATCTAGTTCTGTCACGCAAATTTCCCTTGAAGTTGCCCATATTCTACATTTTTTCTTGTTTTTTCTTTGAGGTTCATTTATGACATTTGTGTTGTTTAATGTACCAATATTTGACCAAAATTGTCTAAATAAATTTTAATATGACCCTTTTTCAACCTTTCTTTATTCCTTAGAACTAAACAGGCCGTTTTTGTTACTGTACCTTTAAGACTGATATACGCAAACAGCATCTCTTTTGTTTGCCCTGTATTGTGCCTCATTCAAAAAGCAGTCTGGACTGAAACACTCCTTACAACTTAACAGCATAAGTGGATAGGGCAAAAACTGATACAAGCAAAAGTTTTTGCAGCTTAGTTTTTATATACGGACTGTATGAAAAGGGGTGTGAACAGTTTGGAAAATTTAACGTTTGTATACTACATTAGCTCTTCTATTCTAAAAAAGCAAGGTCAATTTGGCTTTTAATGTGTCCTTGTATGACAGACTTCAATATCTAAACTACACTAGATTCTGGATTCAAGTTATTAAAAAATGTAACTGTATCTGATTCATCCGAAACATTCGACCCATTATACATATCATAAATTATATTTAATACAGTTTGCGGTTTAACATGGTTTTATCTGCATTGCCCTTGCCCATCTGATGTGCTATACACTGCAGTCCTTACCCTACATACAGTAAGTGCTAGCTCATCAATTATTCACACCAAACTTATAGCGAGCGCTTGAGCGTAAGCACTCAGACACTGGAAGAAGCTTGACTTTCTCCACATACGGCCTCATATAATGCATCAGGGACGCAAGAACAGAGATGCCTTTTATCAAAGTTCCTTGATGCATAGCATTTCTCCCTATGCCTATTAAGAGCGATTCACGTCATACAGTTACTTCCACTGACATCATCTTGGCAGGCACAGGGCTGTCTCAAGCAGTGTGAAAGAATACAGTGATGTACAGTGTGGCCTGTCACTCAGTCGTCTGCTTCAGGACACCGTACTCTCCCCCAGGGCCTCTACACACCTGAGGCAGCCGGCACCACCAGTATGATGCAACCTGCTGACACTGTCGCTGCAGATGGCAAAAATAACTCTGAGTGCCTGAGGGCTGAAATGCTGCCAATGGAGGATATTGCAAACCATATACAGACTATATATGTCACTGTTAGACAAGCATTTAATGATAATTGAAAGGTCTAGAGATGCTCTTTTAAACCCCTTAACCTTCACAGACCTGTCAGTGGGTGTAATGTTCATTGTTCATTCCTATAACATAACAGTGTGACATGGCAAAAACAGTATCACAGCACCTCAAGAGATTTTCACGAAGGATGATATGTAACAGCATATTTCATTTGATACGTCTGTACACACAAAAAAGCTCCAAAAACTATGAATACAAAGATTGTTATTCAATATTTCACATGCTGCACTGCGCTAATTCCAATTAAACAGGACTAATTATGTGGTATTTATGATGAAACATGCAGTTGCTCAGCGTTTTTTAAGTACTGATTACATCGACGATATGCTCAGAAAGCTTATTGTGACGTTATATGATGTAATTTAACACAACAACAACAAATACTGCCATATTGCCCACACCTGATAATTACTCCTATTACATGATAATAATTTACTAATTTCAAATTGTTTTCCATGTAGTTCCTAAATAATAAGACTTACGATGCTAACATTGAAAGATTTTTAAAGAGTTACACATGGTTTTTCAGGAGCTGAAAGTGAAATGAATACCATCTGCTGTAGGCTAGAAAACCTGAGAAAGCCACTGCGTAGGATATTCAAAACTGTTGTCACCAGATAGGCAAATAACTTTTTTTAACATTTATTTTCATGGAAAGATGCTATCTATACTGCCTAGATGCTGCTTGTTCTGGTAGGATTAACACCACTAATGAAACACTTTTGAAATACACACTAACTAAATGACTGAATATCTTATACATTCACAACTTCAGTAATGCTTATAAAATAAGTATGAAATATTAAGATAAGACAAGAATGTCAAATAAGGCAAAAAGTCAAAAAGTAGCTAGAGTTTTAAAGGCATGTTGAGCTTAACTTATGGCTCAAATAATTGCCATTAGTGTATAATTAATAAGGGAAAAAGAGGAATTTCCACCTTGTACCTTTTGCGCTTAATGGTGCGTTGGCTCTCCAAAATCCAAAATTCAAAAAGAGCACATAGGCCCCCACTCAACACTTAAATAAGCAAGAGATTATAGCTGCTTAAATCATTTTCTTTTTACAATTTTTTTGTTTCGTCTCATGCCATCCTCAATGCCATTCAAGTAATTAATAAGGCAATTGAAGAGGTCATGATCAGGTCTCTGCTTTCTACCAGTGACTTCACAAAAACGAATAGATCTGCTCTCTTTTCTCCTTATCAGATTCTCAATGTGCTGTTACTAACCTCATTCAGATGCTGGAATGTAGAGGTGCTCTGCAGTTAGATAACAGCTGAGTGTATTTATGTGTATTTGTGTGTGTGCATGGGGGGTGTCATGGCTTTGCATTCAGAGCCTTGGGCATCCTCAGGCACAAAAAGAGTTGCAGCTGCGGCTTTGATCTCCTAATGTGTGTAATGGCAATTGTACTGCATCCAAAAGACTGCAGCTGAGCGAGTGAGGGGCGAGCTACTCAGCAACATTTTTAATGCGATTTCAGTTATCTTAAGGATAAAGGCACAGGCCAGGCTGAAATTTGGTGGTTGTGGAGGGGGACTGGAGGGGGTTGGAGGGGGGAGTAGTGTGTGTCTCATTGTATCGGTTCACTCCTCCCTCTTGCTACCCAAAGTGACAGAGCTGCAAAACTAACTGGCCTTCAGGCTATGACATGAGAGAGCTGCTGCACTTCTCTGAAAATCATCATCATCCGTGTGCCGTGTGCTCATGCTTCAAGTGCACAGCTGATTTCATTACAGGGATGTGTTGGACCTCCAGTGAACCAGAAATTGGATTTAGAGAAAAAAAATCTTTTTGGCCTTCCAGTGGACTTCTTCTTACAGTTCTTTTGCAAAGAGATGATTGGTGGACGGTAACATTATTCAGAAGACACTCATGGACCAACTAATGCAACAACAAAGCTCAACTCTTACTGCCTTTCAGTTATAGGATGTGCATAAAAGATTATGGCTTTATTTGTATAACTTCCTGATATACAACATGCATATGTTATGGTGTGTGACACAACCATGAAAATTAGAGGTGAAAGATTTAATTGTTTTTATTTTGAAATTGGACGCACAATTTTTCAACCCCCAGAGCTTTATTTAAACTATATCCTACATTATGAAAAATACTGTGGGAAAATATAACCCTTACAACACAGAACTGAACCGCCTATACACAAGTTAGACCAATCAGAAGCAACCAAACATCCATGTGCTGTGTACATGACAACACAACCACTACTAACTAGCAGTCTGGAAAGCTGCATTCAGTCTTCAAGCTTTAAGCCATCAGAAGCGGATGTGCTGGTCTTCTTAGCCAAAAAAAGCCTAGGCCTCAATTTATAGAGAATAAAAGCATAAATCACAGTCACAAAATCAGAAAAATCGCAGTTGGATCATTCTCCCCAAGTCGTTCAGAATGCAACGGAATATGTCTATGATAAATTACAATTACCAGATTCCACTGTCCAAAATCCGAATATCACCTTAATGGTTTGGAATCATTTCTGCCTAGAAAATCTAAGTATGGGTTATTATATTAATGCCTAGTTTTATTACAGGCTTATTGTGTTCTACTGCGACTCACAAAATGCAGGGGCAGAAAAGGCACTTTTTACTGTTTTTCAATGACAATCTTTCATAAATTAAACATAGGCTACTTCTCATGTGGCATAACGCTTAATCTTAAAAAATCTAAAAATCTGCATTTCAGAGAACTCAACTCACCTCTTTTTCAAAAATATACAGGTGGTCCCCTTTCAGCATCACAAAGCGATTTCTCCATATCTCCCTGAAAATGCCTTTGCCACAGAACTTGCGGATCCAGCCTACTTTGTCCGGCTGCGATGACAGCTGGTTGGCATCTTGAAGTCCCTGCGTGTATGGAGAGTAAATCCAGCCTTACATAACAGAGGAATTAAAAATGAAAAGCCTCTCCTACACAAACCCACTCTGATAACCTAATCTTTTGACATATAAATATGGCATGTGCTGCTGATCATGGCAATAGATTCCACACAGCAGCTTTTAATTAATGCTCACTTTAAGGGTGTGGCCAATTAGCCTGAATACTCTATTATATAAACAGAATAAAGATATTGTACCTGTGCTTATCGCCTCGGAGAACGACACCCCCACACATATGGTTAGAGCAATTTTAAAACTCTGTGCTACACGTTAGATAAAGGCAAGACAAACGAGTCACAAAAAACAAACATATCACAACTTACACGCATTACGACAGTAACATACCAAAATATAGCCCAGCTCTTCTGCTATACAGAGGTGTGCCAAACAGCATTAACCTAAGAATGTATTATACAAATGTGTAGACTAGCAGAGGCGTGTTATCACAGCCTGCTCCAGTCCCGTCAGAGGAACAGCGTAAATTTATTCAGCATTTACACATCAGCATCTCACCCTTTTGACCAAATGGCTTTTCTTCATGTTGAACGTGAACTATGGCACTTTTCAGATCTATATCCCTCGAACTGCCCCCGGTTGTCTGTTAGAGATGAACCGCACCGCTGGCTGCGCTGGTCCTCCTCTTTGTTGGCGAGTTTCTGTCTACACGCAGCTGACGGAGCTGAACGGGCGGCTCGCAGCAGCTATTCGCTGTCGTGACGGTTTGCAAAACGCGGGCATACTGTCTCCACTGGCTTGGGAGGCTCCCTGAGAGCTGCTGAGAGTTGCAGTGAACCAGATTGTGGGCTGCTCCAGCGAGAGGAGCTCCGCTGCGCCCTCTACTGGACAGCGCCGCGCTCACACAACGCGACGTCACGTCAGATGTTAAAGCTCAGGTATCGAAGATGAACGAGCGCAGCTTATTCTCACCTATTTACACACTAAAAAGTGCTTTTTTTGTATCCAAATTTTTAGTCTCTGCAAGGTTTTCTGATGCCAAATAGTAGGTAACATAAATGTTATATGATAACAGGATATACGAGATCCTGAATATACGATATTCTGTGCATATTCAATGATAATTTTCTGTTTTACAAGCTCACAAATCCAAAGTACTTAGTCAATGTACACATTAAGAGATTTGTGATATTTACGTTGCTCAAAGAAGCCTTGCATGTTCTCATAAAAACACATCTCCACACTTTGGGACCATGTATTCCCTGTCAAAGGACCTGAGGCCAGTTTCCCAAAAGCATACAGTGTTATTACAGACAAATTAGCTCTAGTGACTTACAGTGATCTCTGGCCACTCCTGCCCACTTGCCTCCTACAGTGGTGCCACAGTAGTCTCCAGAGTGAGATTTGCCAGATTAAAGACAAGCTCCCCCCACCCTTCTGATGTAAGGTTTTTTTTGCTAGCTGGTTAATGCAGAAGGAAGCTAACATTACAGTTAGGAATATCACAACTGTATTCATTAGCTTATACATCAGTGGTGCATCAGTGGATTTCTTTATCACTGTGGGTGGGGGTTTCCAACGGTTGTATGATATATTTACATAATGCATGCTGGATACTGTAGTGAGAAAACACTGATGGACTGAAGAGCAAAAAGGAGACAAAGCTGTGAAGTATGAAAGGCTGTAGGTATTGCATAACATGACTAATAACATATTGAATGCTTTTTCCCACCAATGCACCTTTAGGGTCATAGGGCTACACTCCCCCTACATAAACCCTTCGTGACAACTGACATAAACCTAGATAAACAAAAGGATGGTGGCAGCTGTCATAAAGGCTGACTTTGTTTATTTTGATGTCAAGTTGGTATAACACATAACACCTTGATTTTACTTTACAAGGTAATGACCTATGACCTTTTGTAGGATGGAATGACAACTGACTTTGCAGCTCAAAGTATTTCTGTGATGTCAGAGAAGCAAGTTGCTGATAATGTGATACAGCTTGCCAAGTGAGGTTATTTGAAAAATTGAAAAAAAAGGTTAGAACTTTCAAAAACTGTCTGCAATATTTCCTGTAGTTTAACCCAAGTGTAAAGCCTAACCCAAGACCTTATATATTAGCATAACACTGTTGTGTCATTGCATATGTGCTTGGCTACTATTAGGCTTAGAGTTTCTGCTCTGTATCTAAATTAGCCTGTAGGCTTTTTGTTCCCCTGCTCTTTCTTCAAACGAGGCCTATAAACAGACTTCAAGCAATGATGCGAAAACATGAAAGATGTTTTTGAGGGTATCAAATGATTAATCTTCATCACCAGTACTCATTTTGTTTATTAGGCTTTGTCATAAAATATTAATCATCTCTTCAGAACATCTTAAAGTATATCACACTGTACAAAAATGAAACATAAGGACATTCAGGAGGGCACATACACTCACACAAACTTTATATGTGATTCAGCCTACAGAAATGGTCTGTATTCAAGACCTTATTGTAGAAGTGTAAATGTCCATGTGTCCATTCTGGATGTTTATTTTCTGGATGCTCCTACCAACCATCACCATGTATGATGCACCACTGATGTATAAGCTAATGAATACAGTTGTGATATTCCTAGCTGTAATGTTAGCTTCCTTCTGCATTAACCAGCTAGCAAAAATATGTAAAAGATTTGTAGAAAGAGAAATGTATGTCATATACAAATCAAACCAATTCGTTCTGGTAGTATAAGCACTAATTGTATTTGGTGAGAAAGTTTAACAAAAAAAATTTAAACATAGTATGATGTTGTAAGATGACTAGTACACAGTTAGTAACTGCTAATAGGCACTACATTAACCAGAGACAACTTTACAGTCCAAATAATTACACCCAAAGCAAATACATACAGTCGCCTTTTTAAAGACATTCATTGGTATGATATACTGATTAAAAAGAAGAGTAGGCATCTCTGTAACCACACATATGGGCATTAGGAACACACAATGCAATGGTCACCAAACCTCTTCCTGTAGATTTACTGTCGTGGACTGTGCTGGACTTCTGCCCCCCCGTTCCTTACCTGACGTGAAATACCTGATTCAGACAGTTAAGACTTTCTGAAGACATAATTTAGTTGGAGAACATGGGACAGATAATAAGTAGAACTGAGTTGGAATCCACTGCACTAATGTAAAGTGGAACCACCACTACCATGGAGACCAGCTGTTTTCATCCTATTAAGTGCAGGCTGCCAAATAACAGATTACATTACATGACTACAGATGTTTCTGACTGCAGTATTCACTGGAAACAAAATAAGTGACAACATTATATACAACAGGGTAAGGATTATTGTTCAAGATTTTTTTTGTCTTGGAGGTCTCATTATTATTAGTGTAGTGCTGCCAAGTAGAGATCACTCATTGGGAACATAATAATGTCTGAAGTTATTACAGTTTTATACTTTTGATCATATGCATAACTCAAAAAGCATTCTTGCTTTGTTTCACACAATTTGTAACATACTCAGAGATGGATGCCTGGATGACATCAAGTCTTTCAAAGATAGCAGAGTATTTCATGTTCATGTTACTGGAGAGGAATGTGTGCAGTAGGAGGGATGGAAGCGTGAACTCAGCTTTTGGGCTCAGATGACACACAGCACTATAACCTACGCATTAATAAGAAAGCTAAGGACAAACGCTCAGCGTCTGGTTGGTGGACGACTGGCGCCTCCATGCCCCAAACCTGCTGCTAATGCCACCTCTTCCATGAAGCTGTAAAAGAGAGAGAAGAACAATTAATTACCGCTACTCGCACAGCCAAATTATAGTAAGATAATGGGAAGAAAGAAGGTGGTGTTGGCTCTTACTGTTAATTAATTATTAACAGAAAGGGAGCAGCTGCTAACATAAAAGTTTAAGGAGGTTGTTGCGCTGTCCTGATTGAGTTCTTTAATCATTATTAGTACTTACTGTACTAACTGTTTCCTAAGCAATGCAATTCTTAAGGTTTGTAAACAGTGTAACCAAAACAATCTGTATACTGCTAGCTATACTTCCTATTTATAGTCCAGTAAACCACATAGGTCACCCATACTTGATGCATGGACATTTTTGAGGCACACAAAATGTCCATGTCAACTGAGAAGTGCAGTACTGTGTAGAAGCCAGAGATCACCCTTCTTTCATTTAATTTTCAGTCAAAACCACCATTAAGTACATAGACTTTTCAAGAAATATTTCGAGTTTTCAAAACAGGAGTTAATAAAATTAATTTTAATAAATACACGGAAAATGGGACTCCTAGCAATCGAAACAGACCTGTTAGATCACCAAAACTGTCACCACAAAATAAACAGTACTTTAAGCTTTCATCTTTTAGAGAAAATCAAGTTTCACTCTTGCATCAGATCTGAAAAAATCCACAAGTGTTTCTGTCCATCCGTCCAACTCAAAACTATGAGTCTGAAAGGACGTGTAGCTGACAAGAAGCCCTTACTGAGAAAAGAAAAAGACAAAGAAGGAGAAAATTTGCTAATCAAGCAAAGAAGCTGCTGATGTTCTCAGATCAACGGACTGACCACCCCACAGTCCAGATCTCAGCATCATTGAATGTGAATAGGATGATTTGAATCGTAAAAAGCAGAAAATGCAACTTCTAAGACTGAACTTTTGGAAGAAAAATATCCCTGTGGATTTATTTCTCAAAAAAAAAAAAATTAAAAAAAACAAAGCTGTAACAAAGTTAAAGGGTGGACACACTAAATACATAAAAATGTGTATTATATGTAGTTCTTGAGGCTTCTATGTAATCTTCTGTTAAATATGTTTTTTGCCTTTTCCAGATGCAGAGAAATAAATACCTTGTACATAATAGCCATTTTGACTGGAAATTACACACAAGAGTGGTCTCTGATTATTGCACAGTACTGTATATTCTGTATACTACTTAATATAATACCAATCAAATTCACTCTGTTCTTTATTTTATTCATGCTGGATATCCCATTCAATGTTTTTTGAATTAGCAACTACTGCAGTAAGCCTACCTTTATAAATAAGGAAACTCCATAACTCACATGAAATAATGTATGCACAATGTGATGCACTTCGAGCATGTTTTATAAATAATGCAAATATACAAAGGTTATATTCAGCACACACGTAATGCTGAAAAAAGGAGAATAAGGGCAAATAAAAACAGATTTTTGCTCCCACAGAATATTCTCTTCCTCCTTTTCTACACTAAGTAAGTTCTGCATTTTAGAGTACTGCTCCGGCTCAATGGAGCCATGCAAGCGCACTGATTGCTTTTCATATACCACCATTCAAGGCTGGTGTAACTCTATCATGTCTCATTCCATTCTGAATAAAACTTTAGGGTTGCTTTAGGGTGAAACGAGAGGTCCTGACCTCTTGGTGTTGTGAATGGTTGTCCCTCCGAGTACGATACGCACACCTGGCATGGTGCGGTTCAGGTTGTAAACTGCGAAGGCTTCTTCATAGGTGGCTCCTCCAATTACGAAGACAATAATGTCCTGCGGCCTGCATTGGAGTGAAGCACAGTGTGTAACATACAGTAAAGGTCCAGCAGTCTGTATTTATATGGGATGAGTATGAATACCCACATCCTATCCATTAATACAAAATATGCAGCCATTAGGAGTGTAAAAACAAAATATATCATACTGTATAGTTCAATACAGTATCTCAGTTTAGTATTCACAAGGCTAACGTATTAACTGGTAGCTAGCGCATCATTCTAAAATATTGTACTTTTATAGTGTTGAATGCTCTAATAAATGGAAAACTGAAACATTAACACTGGCATAAGGAACATTTTCAGGCACTCATTATTTTTGCTGCATCACAAAAATGTATATAATCAAGACACCACTGTATTGTATCAAACTGAATTATACATTCTGTGAATCACTCCAACCCCAAGCAGTCATGTGTGGATGCCATTACTGTGAAATGGAAACATCTAGACAATAACAGCTCAGCCACAAAGTGGTAGAACACACAAACTCACAGAGTGGGGCTGTCGAGTGCTGAAGCACACAGCGTGTAAAATGACCTATCCTCCATTGTAATGAGTTCTAAACTGCTTCTGGAAGCAACATCAGCACAAGAACTGTTCATCAGGAGCTTCAGGAAATGGGTTTACATGGCCAAACAGCTGCACACAAGCCTAAGATCAGCCGGAGTGGTATAAAGCACACTGCCACTGGATTCTGGAGCAGTGGAAACATGTTTTCTGGAATGATGAATCACGTTTCAGTATTTAGCAGTCTGATGGACAAATCTGGATCTGTCAGACACCAGGAGAACGTTCCCTACAGGAATGCACAGTGCCAACTGTAAAGTTTGGTGGAGGAGGGGTTATGGCGTGAGGCTGTTTATCAGGGTTTGGGCTTAGCCCCTTAGTTCCAGTGAAGAGTAACATTAATGCTACAGCATAAAAAGACATTTTAGACAATTATATACTTCCAACTTTGTGGCGAAAGTTTAGGGAAGGCTCTTTCCTGTTCCAGCATGACCGTGAGCTCCATAAAACAGAACTCCAGTGATCTGCACGGAGCACTGACCTCACAAATGCTCTTTTGACTGAATGGCCACAAATTCCACAATCTTGTGGAAAGCCTTCCCAGAAGAGTGGAGGGTGTTATTCTACAAAGACGGGCCAATTCCATATTAATTCCCTTGGCTTTGTATGGGAAGTCCTATAAGCGCATTTAAGAGTGACGGTCAGGTCTCCACATACTTTTGGCCATATAGTGTACCTAATGTATTTCATTCATGCAAATTATTACTTTGCTATCATTTGTTGCTGACAATGCAATGCATGCTTTAATAAAATAGCAACAAAAAGAGGAGCCTGAATACTTTAGAGTGTCAGGTAATTTTTTAACATTTAAAGGTACATTATGTAATATTTAGGGATTTTAAGACCTCTCTGGAGGAGCTGTGTAATTGCATGCAACATGCAGAAGAACATTTTATAATGTCGGTTGTGCTTCGGTTCCCTTCCCCGAGAGGATGAATATGATGACTGCGAGCGCACTGAAAGATGACTTAAAGACCAAGTCACATTTTCGTGAAAGATGTGTCTTCTGAGGATGTAAGTGAATTATTTACTATTATCATCATATCTTCATCAGCATATTGGTTATTTTACATTTTAAACCTAAACATTGAGCCAAATATTAATTTTGAGCCTGAGTGCATAAAGTGAAATGTAAAGATGTATGACATGATCCAAAAACTCCCACGAAATCCAATCCTACTGCTCTGTCTTCTAAATTATTATTTCAGTCTTTACAGGGTGACTTGCAACAGCACAAGGACACCATATTTAAGCATGTTTTTTCATTTATCCTCCTCACTTAGAAATGCCACTTCTTTTTACTAAACAAAAAAATCTTAGTGCAGCTTTAAGTGACATTTTAAAGGACAAAGGCCCATTGCTCATAGCTGGCTAATACAATAAACTGCAGAACACTGAACTAAGCATGATGACTCACTGCAGGACTAAAGCTAAAATCACATGAAGTGGATTTGAGATTAAAGAAGCAGGGATCAGGAGCACTGCAGAATGTATGCGAGTGTGTGTGGGTATCTGTTGAACCTGTCCCGCAGAGAGCTTGGCCCGAGGTAGGGGAACTGACTGTCCTTCAAACGGCCTTTAATCAGCTGATCCAGTGTGTCATGCAGCAGGGGCTGGTGTTGTGTGTAGACATTCTCGACGCCCTACACACAAAGACCAACAAAAAACATAAACCACTCACATCTCAATAATAATAATATAAAAATTAAAATTAAATGGTGAAAACATGTCAGTAATTTGACAGTCTGTACATTATCCTCTACCTTAAGCCCTTTGAAAAACTGTTTTGTGATGGCCACAGCATCTGTAGGGGTGATAAGATCACTTCCCCTAACCCGTTTTCCTCCGTAGTCAATCATGGCCTGTACCATCTGTGGCACAGGAGAAAAGGTGTAAACAAAATATATGTAATATATACAGTACTGTGCAAAGGTCAGAGACCACCCTTCATTTATTTAATTTAAAGGGCAGGTTATTCATTATTTAACAGATATTTCTGAGGAGATTAGAGGTAAAATTATCCTTTGCACAAGCAAGACGAAAGTGAAAGGAAAATGAGTGAAACTACAGGGCTTTCCAAAACTGGAATTAAAAAAAATATTAAAAGTCTTAGAAACAATCCTAACAACCTAACAACTGCACAAGACCTGGTAGGTGACCAAAACTGTCCCAAGATAAACAGTACTTAAAGCTTTCATATTTGAGAAATAGGAGAAAATCAAGCTCTACTCTTGCTTCAAATCTGAAAAAATCCATTCTCTCTGTTCATTCACTGTGAGAATACAACTCAACAATAAAGCTGTAATAAAGGCAAAAAGTTAAGTTATTACATTTTTACATAATTACATTTTTACATAATTACGTTTTCTGCTTTTTCCTGATGCTGAATAATGAATTACGTATACATAATGGCCACTTTGACAGGAAATTAAATAAATGGAGGGTGATCTCTGACTAATTGAGCATTAAAAGACTGCATAACATGGTTACTGCTCTTGCACATCTCATGCTGAACAGAAAAGCAAGAAAACTGTAATCGAATAACAACTGTTTCATCACCTTGCGGTATTTTTCAGACACCCCTCTCCTGTTAAGCTCTTCCATGAGGCTGGAGAGGATGCTGCTGCTGTGTCTCTCATAGCGCAGAGCGTACAGCATCACCAGCCGCACCGCGTCCAGCTCTGACACCCGTGGGTTCTGCAGCAGGCGCCGTACATTCTGTTGCCACATGGAGAGGCCTCAGCACTAGGGTTTACACAAATCTACTAACCAAGCCATGACTAAGCAGCATGTCTGAATAGAAAATCATGTGACCCAAGACAAGAAGCAGTGAAGAAGCGGGCTAAATAAAACTGTGTGTTAGCATGAGTCGTGAGGCGAGGGTAAATAAGCATGCGGTGTGTGAGGTACCTGCTGGGCATTGGAGTGGTCATTCTGGCAGGCCAGCTCCTGCTCCACCTCAGACACCTCCATCAGCTGCCTCTCACTGACCAGACGAGACAGTTCTCCCACAACGGTTACATGCTTGCTCACTGTGCCCGACATTTTCTTAAACTGTGGGTAGTTATCCACAAACGCCTGCAGAGACGGAGCAGATGCTCATGAAAGAGTGGAAAATGAGCAAAAGCAGTCCTTAGATTGCTGCTTTGAGATTACTTTTCTGACCCATCTGACCATCTGACCCATATGATCATCTGAAGGACCTTGATCTGAACTCAAGGAATTGCCCATAAAAAAAGCAGTACATCAAAAACACATTTCAATATATTATGTTGCATATTTCAGAAAATACTGACAACACATAATAATATCTCTATAGCCTCACCTTCATGTCAGAAATAGACTCCAGTTTCTGTTGGCCCTTCGGCCTCTTCTTCTGGAAGTCCTCCATTAAGTTCTTAATGTTTGTTCCAATCTCACCAAAGTTCAGATATAAGTTCTGTGTCAGAGAAAAGAGTCCATAAATCATCCAATACTTCAATAAGATCACAAAAAGGAAACTTGAAAGCAATACACCTAAGAAATGGCACTCTTTATTACCCCATTGCATATAACAACACGTCGTAGCGGTCCAAAGAAGAACATGTACCACCAAAATAGCAAATTGTCTGGACAAGACAAAATTTGTTCTTAAATTTTAACATAGCTTCATGTAAATAGGTTTAATTTCAAGTGATTTTGCAGTTTTGCAGAAGCCCAAAACAAAAAAATATTCAGTTAAAATTTCCCAATGACATTGTAAATCCAGCCCAAACCTGATCTTACTTTATGCCTGAAAAAAGTAATACGGATATCATCACAATAAATACATTTTTAGCATCACTCATTCAGCCTGGTGTTACCCACGTTGGCATAGAACTCATCATTCTCTGCAGACAGCACCACTTCCTTCAGGTCTTTGTTAATACCAGGAACTCGAGAAAGGTCTATTCGGTTGTTGTTGAGACCCAGCAGCTCATGAACCATAGCCTGATATGTCCACTAGAGGAGGAAAAAGCACAAACATACCACTCATTCCAATCACAACAACTGGATCATTACATAAGATTAAGATTACCACACCAAAGCATATGGACAGAATACAATTGTTTACAATGTAATTTAAACATGCGATTGAGTACAATTAATTTTTGTGGTTCCCCAGGAAGACACTATCATTAATAAGTGTTAAGTAATCTAAAATATTAAATGTATAGTAGGTTTAAAAGTCAATATAAGCAGTGGTCAGTACTGCCCTCTTGTGTCCACAGCCAATAATTACAGCTGAGGACGTAGTGCAGGATCTAGATGTTTTAAGGGTCCACTTCCTAATTCTGTCTTATTTGTTGTACTTTATTTTTTAAACAGTCACAATGTATTTGCAAAAAATATTTTAAAAAGCATAATTTATTTTTACATAACAATTTTAGATTTACATGATCATTTTTTTCAACCTCTTTTTATACCTTAAAAATAAACTATTTTTGTTACTGTGTGTTTAAGATTGATATATATAAATGACCTCTGTTCTGCCCTGTAATGTGAAAAAACAATGAATTCAAAACAGGCTGTTTTTGCAGCTTAGTTTCCTTATATGGAGTGTATGAACTGAGGAGGGAGTGGTATATTCTGAAACTTGAACAATGTTGATGTGCTACATCCAACTCTTTTATTAAAAGCAAAGGAAATGCGGTTTCACTTGATATGGGCCCTTTAATAGATCAAAGCTTCACAAAACAAGAGGCAGACACTCACCTGGTTGAGGAGGGGTGTGATAGCATCATCACTTCTGTCCAGTATCAGGAGAAGAGGAGGCACTTCAGTTTTTCTGAAGTCAAATAACTCATACTCCTTGGTGATGATTTGCTACAGGAGAATAAAAATATAAACTTTGTGCTACTTATACAAATATCTGGTAGAACTGCAATACAAATACAAATGAATATCCCTATAAAGTTGACGAATAACGCTGCATTTGCATTTTGGCATTTACATTCGTCCTAGTTACTTGATTTCTTACTGTTCATCATATCCTACTGTTTACAACAGCATTTTCTAAAACAATAGAGAGGCTCAAAAGTGCAGCCTTCAACTGTGAGGGCATTTTGTTGAGCAGTCAATAAAGTATATGAGGAATGAATAATGAAAACAGCATAACAAAACAGTTCTACTTAAGCTCAGTAACACAAGCATCTTACTTTAACACTCTCTGCCAGTCTCTTGGCCATGTCAGAAGAAAGCTGGTAGCGGATCATGGGACACTTCTTCAAAGACAACAGCACAGAGGTCAAGCCTTGAGTGACACGTGGAAGAACAGTGGGCTCCCAACTGCGACCCTGAGAGAAACCACACAAACACGATGTATGAACTACACAGAGTGTATATCTGAGAACCAACGAGAATGAACTGTGAGTAAAGCAGCACTGTTTTCTTCCTCAAAAAAGTCAAAACCTACAGTTACCTAAAATCTTCAAGATTAGAGTTTTTATTAAAACTAGGCAGTGAAACTCCACTTCTTCATGATCAAGTATGCTATTTCGATTTAAATGAGGATATACAACGTCATTGTAGTTTAAAAATATTGTCTAAACAGACTCCCAAATCCCAAGTCTCCTACCCTGGCTACTCCTTGTAAGTTCAGGGAAAAGAGATGAGGATTCACAGCGATGAAGTCTCCATAGAACTCCTGCAGAGAGAACACATTACAATTACAATTACAATGTACAGTATTGTGCAAAAGTCATTCATTTTATTTCCAGTCAAAATGGCCATAATGTGCAAACTGTTTTTTGTGCCTCAAAACACATTTAACAGAAATACACAAAAGCCTCCAATAATAAATATAATATAAAATCTGTGTTGAATTCACTGTTTACTTATTAATTTTACTTTTTACACCATACTGCCACTTTCATTCTTCCATCCTTTCAATCCTAAAACCAACAAGTTACAGCTGTGTCCTCCCAAAAAAGAGTTCCCAAAGCTCTCACTGACATTATGATCTCCTTCAAAGAGACACTAACATTCACAGAAGCAGCTACCCAAACTCACCTCAGCTGCCTTACAAATTTATTTCTCACGTGCACCTAAAATTACTAGATTAATTGTAAAATAATACACTTGCACTGAGAAAACTGTCACCATCAGATCAACAGTACGTAAAGCTTTCATCTTTGAGAGACTTGAGAAAACTAAGCTCCGCTCTGGCTTCAGATCTGTCCATCCTTTCACAGTGAGGAGAGAACTCTCAAGGTTATGGGTCTGAAAAGATGTGTGGCTGTCAAGAAGGCGTTTCTGAGAAAAGTAAATACACAAAAAAAAACTGTTCTATAACACCAAAACTGGACAGCAGAGATGTGGAGTAGGGCTTTATTGAATGTTGCATCTAAATTTGTAACTGGGATTACCTGGATGACGAAAAGCAGAAAAACCAAGCAACCTTAAGCCTAAGTTTAAAGACGTGGAAAAATATCCCTGCAGATTTCTTTGAAAAACTGAAAGCAGGCCTCCAGAAAAGAATGGAAGGCGTAATAAAGGCATGGATACACTACATACTAAAAAAATATATATCATATTTAGCTGTAAAGGCTATTGTGTAAATTTCTGTTAAATATATGTTTCTGTTTTTTTGCTGACACTGAAAAAGGAAATTAAATGTTTGCACAGGACTGTATGTTCTGTACACTACTGTATATAATGCCATTCTTCTCTTGAGTATTACTATACACAGTAAGCTCATAATCAAACTAGAAAAAGGGCTAAAAAAACTCTAGATCTGGAGAAAAACAATAAACATTTCAATGCTCAATAGGATATTTACGGGAGTGTTACACAAGCTTACTGACCTGCACCTCTGCAACGACCTCTTGCTCATCAGCCTCTGCCAAAGCCTTTACTTCACTCTTACTTATGACGTTACTGAAATCTACATGAAGAGAAAAAACAGAAACAAAAGAAATAAAAAATAACTTTGTTAATCAAGAGCTAAGTGCTTGTGTTGGCCTCACACGATTTAAAGATATGAAAACAGGGACTAAGTGTTTCTCTGCAAATCAGCGCCATTACTCACAGATGAAATAGACGCTGTACTTGGGACGGCGCAGCTCTTGAATCAGATTCTCTACGTTTTCCTAAATGCAAAAAAGATTTTTGACAATAAACAATATGAATGATTTTGAGCAGTTTTATACTGATGACACCCCCATTGACAGATCTTACATACTACTTCTAATAGTAGTAGCAAAAATAACAGTTAACATTGTTGTTGATCAAAGCATTTTATGGCCCCCCTCCACTAAGAAAATACTTAAAAAGTCTCTAAAACTAAAACTAAACTTGTGGTTATGATCAAGCTGTCATTGGGACTTTGCCAAATCTTTCTCTGGATCTGATGTGCTTGAGTGTGCCCAGACACATCATCACTGGCAGACAGAGTAGGCCCTGATAAATAGCCACCGCTCTCACCATGTTCAAGCTAAAGCTGCTATCTATGTTGTCTAGTCTAGTCAAGCTGTCTTGAGGAAATGCATTAATTTATTTTGATGTAACATAGTTAAAGCCTAGAATATTTTTTTCAAATCCAGGTTCTTTCAATAATTGTTTGATCTGCAGGATATTTACTTTAAATGTTTCGGGAAAATGCACTCAAATGTATCCTCACTGGGCTCTTGTGCTGAAAGGGAGCAGGAGGAAGGTAAACTGGGGATTTAAATGGAACAAGAGTGAAATATTAAGAAACAGGGCCTTCAACGAGGACTTGTAGCAGGTATTTGGATGTTTTCTGCGTCTTCCATACATTTGTATGCACTGACATTGGGGATGTTGTGCATGCACACAGTAATGTTATCAAAACCCTAAGCATAAGACATAACACCTGAGCATGAATACCTTGGTTGGTCGCAGGAAGCAGATGGCCTTCAGATGTTTCATGTTGTCTCGGTTTTGAGAGTCAATCCTCTCAAACAGGTACACCTCTTTCTGCAGGATCTCAGACTGTGTGTAGACCATACTCACAATGCTGGTCTATGGAGATAAAAGAGAAAGAAAAACTGGCTTATACTTGCTAAAATAAAATAGCGTCAAGTCTACCTATCTATTGCCCATTTTCATCACGTCCACTTTTCATATATGTGCGTTTCTCTGCATAATACGGTTCCCCCTTATTTACCTACTTTATCAGTGTCAGGACCACCACTAACCATACAGGTGGTGTCGTTTAGGTGGTGGATCATTCTTAGTACTGCAGTGACACTACTAGACACATCTTCCTTGTTGATCCACCTTTCATATGTAAATTAAAGACGACAGATCATCTGTTGCTGCACAGTTTGCGTTGGTTATCCTCTAGTCCTTCATCAGTGGTCAGTTTCTGTCCACAGGACGCGGTGGTTGACTGTTCTCAGTGTAGTAGTGACACTGAGATATTTGAAAACTCCATCCACTCTGTCAGTGACACAGCAGTGCTGAGAATGATCCTCCACGTAAATAAAACCTACTCAGTGGTGGTCCTGTGGCGGTCCTGACCATTAATAAGGGGAGACAAAGGCTAACAAATTCTGCAGAGAAACAGATGGACTTCATTCTGTAACGTTAATCGTAGTACTACAAAGTGCACCTATGTCGTCTATATGGCAAGTGAACCTGATAAACTGGACAATGAGCATAAATGCAAGTGTCCAAGTCGATGCGTATGTGTGTATAGTGAGAGAGAGAGAGACAGAGAGAGAGAGAGATAGATAGATAGAGAGAGAGAGAGAGAGAGAGAGAGAGAGAGAGAGAGAGGGACATTAGCAAGAACCGTTAACACTGTCAACTGTCAAAACGACAAATACATTCCGAACCTGCGTGAAGCCTTTACTTACCGTCTCCTTGTCCATGAGCAAAACCTTCATTCCTGGACCGCTGCCTTCTATCATTTTGGAGACATACTGCTTTACTGCTAAAGTGACGTTCATTTTGTCAGCGCTGTGTCGTCCTGCGTCTGTTTACACAGTTTCCTTCAGTCGAGAGTACACAGCTCTAGTGTCAGTGCTGAGTGTGAACACAGCCGGTCCTCTCAGCCAGTTCACCGCGTACCAAATTGTTTTGTTGACAATGAACAAAAACTGCCTGGATCGCTCATGAAACCGGGGATACTTCCGGTGTGTGTAACAGTTTGGCAGGCTGATCTGGGATCTGCTGAAATCGCCCTTCAGAGTAAAGAACTGGAAACAGTCAACACAACAGCTGACCTCCAAACAGCCCACACGCAAAGCAGAACCTATCCCATAATGCAACGCGACAACGTAGAACGGAGTGCGTAAACCACCATATTGGTAAGGTCATAGAGGAGCACTTGTCATAAGATAATACTAGTATTTTCATATATAATAGTATTAACAATATTATTAATAATTCAACGTTATGTATAATAAGGTCGTATGCTTTAATAATATATATTCATAATTATCATATTACCAATATTATTATATCAGTAATATAATATTTTAAAGTATTATTAAGAATATTAGTCTATAAGAATAAAAGACTTTTTAAGAATTCAAACAACCTTTCAGTTGTATACATACTAACACTACAAAATTAAAACATAAAAATCATGTTTATTTATATTTCTCATTATATTCTTCATACTAAAACAACTATTAAGTACACAGTAATGACAGCTAACAATACCTCAAGCTCAAGCAAATTGCATAGACATGGAAGCCCATTCCCACAAGGTAAAGAATTATATTAATTACCAACAGGTACTGAATATTAAATTCATTATTTATAACAGGAAATATTATTTATCTCGAAATATTGACTTAGTATATCAAAGTAATGACTTATTTTCTCAAAGTACTGATTCAAGACTAAATTTCAACATGTTGAAATAATAAAATAATTGTAAGAAAGTAAGTAATTATTTTGGGATACTCTGCTATGGCATAATATGTCATTATCTGAAGAAAATAAGAAGAATAAAAACCAGAGGATAAGCCACAGGTTATTTTTTTTCTCCTCAACCTGGTGAGAATGGGCTTCAGTACTAATCACATAGATATAAGAATGAGTGGTTACCATGTTGTAATACTGAGCTACATGATTTGTGAAAAAAATCCTTCATTTTTGTTCATTTCTAGATATTTGTAAAATTTGACAAAGCTGTCATAATAAAAACATGTAAGGAAATAGTAATAAAGCAGGCACAGAGCAGACTGGTGTTCAGCAGGAGCTCTGGTAATTCTGCTGTAGGCATGTACTGGTGGTGGAAGATTGCTGCTTTGGGATGCTGCCTGGGATCAGTCCTCTTCTTTGTAGCCCACCAGCTTAGCACTCACATCCCATAGTCTCATGGCAGCAAGGTCATCTTTAGCCTCCGGTGCTGGTTCTTTTAGCTTGCAGTCACTGTCATTACCATAAATATAATGAACATAATCACAACAAAATTTTAAAAAAAGGTGTATTTTCGGTATGTACCAGGACACACTTACACATTTCATTAGTGTTAATTACTGTATTGCAATATACTGTAAGTGCTGGTAGCAGCAAGATGCAGATACTGACCTAATTATGTAGCATGAAAATAAGACTTGTAAAAAAAAATTTGATCACAGATACATGCAAAGTTTTCTGGGCATTTACAGACAGTCACAGTGATGTAGCAGTGAAACAGCAGTTTGTCAGACACTGTCATATATTCTAGGTTGTGAATAAGAACTCACCTAAAGTAGCAACCACTGTGATTTTCCAGCCCCTCAGTGATGGCACAGTAGATGGAGGTCTGAGCTCCCTGCTTGGGGGTCTTCATCAGGAGGAGGGCAGGAGCAGACAGCAGGGCACTGACTATAGGGTGACGCATCTCTACATAGCGTCCCAGCTCAGTGCGGATCACTCCAGGGTGCAGGGCATATGCTGTCACTCCAGAACCTAACCAGAATAAGAACATGTGTGAAGGAGCAGACAAAGGACTGATCAAAGAAGAATCAATCAAAAAAGAATCAACATTTAAAAGCCATGTGTCCATATGTCCAAAAGTATCCAGACACTTCTAATGAGCAAATTCAGCTACTTTAAGGTGTATCCATTGTCGTAATGTGTATTCAGTTGTGCCTGCACAGCTTATATACTCTCCACAGAAAAGCACTGCCAATAGAATGGGATGCTCTAGAGCAGCCACATATGAACCTAAGGTCACCATGCCCAATGCCAAGTGTCAGGTAGAGGGGTATAAAGCCAGTGGAACTGGCTTGATGGAGCACCCCTGAATACCTTTGGGATGAGTTCTAGTAGGGCTGGGCAATATATGGTGTTTTTCAATATGACAGTATGCTACATAGCAATAAGTGCTGTTTGTGATCCAGAAGTAACAATCTAACGTCACTAATGCTCCTGTGGCTGAATACAATCAAATCCTCACAGCAGTGTTCCAATATATAGTATATTGCCTTCCCTTGATTTGATTCAGTGCAGTGTACAATTTGGAGTTCAAACCTTTGATCCGCCGTGAGAGCTCTCGTGTGAAGAGCAGGTTGGCAAGTTTGCTCTGCCTGTAGCTGACCAAAGAATCATACGGTGTTTTGTTGAAGCTGAGGTCATCAAAGTGGATCTTTCCTAAAAGACAATGAAATGCTGTAAGTAATTTACACAAAAATGTATAAGAAATATATCTATAAGAAATTGTCACTGATCACTAGGTTTAACTACTGATTTCTGTACAGCACAACAATCCATATTACATGTAATGCAGCTATATAAGGCAGCCTGTCTTCACTTTACCATTCCACTGAAAAAAACAAGCCTTGGAATGCAAGCACAGTTTAATAGGCAGGATTTACCTCCTTTGTGAGCAATGCTGCACACATTGACAATACGGCTAGGAGCAGATTTCTTCAGCATCTCGAGGAGCAAAACAGTCAGTAGGAAATGGCCCAAATGATTGACAGCAAACTGAGTTTCATACCCATCTTCTGTGAGACTGTGGGGGCACATCATCACTCCTAATGTAGTGCAATAAGTGGTCAATGTTGTTAATAACAGCAATTAAAGTAATAAAACAGTAATTAACTGTTATTAAATACTTCAGTAGTTTCTAATCAAATAGATATATGTATATATTGGATTCTTCATATAATCAGAATCTATAATATACTTATATGTACCTATACTATTATCAGAATATATAATAAACTTGTTTAGAGTTTGAGCATTTTAAATGTTTGTATTATACTGATAAACTGAGACTGTTAAATGAAGATTTTACTGAAAAACTTGGGTCTATGGGTCATAAAACAAAACCTACTTCTCAATCACGAACGAGAACTCTTCTAAGTGGACTTTTTTCAACAACTATTACTTCAGTAACTACTCCTTTTATTAATGGCAATATAAACATAATTCAATGCTCAAAAATGCTAACAAGATTTCATATTTTAGCACTTGATATGACATAACCAGGGGAAACACCACAGATATGTACAATATATTTTTTAATAAATACAGTACGTGCTAGATAATTAACAGCACCATTACATCAGAATGCCAACATAAAGAACATACACATTACAGCAATTAATTTCACGTCCTCCTTCATTTCAGGTTTAGAAAATTCACTGATATTGAGAACTGGAAATGGACAAAATCATTTTATATTTCTGGATCTCATCCTGAATTGTGTATTTAAACATCAGACCCTTGGATGTCTTACTTTTTAAAGTTAAAACAACATTTTCATATTGTACTTTTTTATATATTTTATTTTTATACAATGTGTCAGTCAATATATCAGGCAAACTTAAAAATTATGTATAACTTCGGTCTCACCAGCATTGTTGATGAGTATGTCCAGTCGGTCTTCTGTGGCAATGTATTCATGTACAAACTGTCGAACTGAGAAAAGAGAGGCCAAGTCTAAGTGCCGCACCACCACGTTGCCGTTTCCTGTGGAGTGGCGTATCTGTGCTGCAGCCTTCTCTGCCCTGGTGAGGTCTCGACATGCCATCACAACTCGTGCTCCTGAGAACAGGTCATTAAACAAGAGAACTGAGTGATTAATTCACAATGAAGTAGTCATTAGTAGGTCTTAACTGATATTGAAATGGTATATAACCATTTTAAGGAACTAAAATTTTTGATCTCCAGTCAGGCTCCACCCTCTTTAGTACTTTCATCCTAAACTACTTAACCATTGAGAAAAGAAAGAGAAATTTAGAGCCTGAATATTTCTGAAGGGGCCTAATTATCACCTGTTACCTATTAGCCCAATAGAAGGTCAGACTGCTTTCATTTTGTTCGTGGAATAAATATGCAATGCTTCTGAAATATAGTGCATAATATGTAGTGTTTTGTAGGTAGTTGGTGGCAAACATGAATGTCAGAATATAAGTAAAGTTAAATGCAACTTAGCTAAGTGGATAACAGGTTGATAGAAACATTTAAGTTAGTATAAAATTGATAGACAAATTTTTCTAGAGCAAAAACCTTATTGTTCGTAGGTTTTTTAGAGTTTTTTAATTCACTAATGTGAAAAAATAAACAATAATTTTTTCGAGGAGGAGAGGCAAGTGAGACAACATAGGCTACAGCATTCATCCTCCATTTTAAAACTTTCTGAAAGTCATGCTGGAAATGTCATGCTATTTCCATTCAGGGAACACTCAGTGCTCACTGGTTTTGACGGTACATTGTGGTAACTTTCAGGGGACGAAAGCTCTAGTGCACTGGAACGATTTTGACAATGAAGTGTATGAGTTGGTAATGGAGGATGCAGGATATGATACCTCTCTTAGCCATGTCCCGTGCTGTTTCTTTTCCAATGCCAGTGTTGGCACCAGTGATGACCACCGTCCTCCCATCCAGTCTCACGCGACTGTAGCATACTCCTCCCGCAACCCATTTTCTCAACAAAACCAAACCTACATTTAGTACATAGAAACATGAGAAGTTAAGCCAAGCATGATTTCATGTGGTTTAGTTGTATATGATAACTTGACAATTATAACAAAGATTTGTTCCTCAACAGATCAACCTTTCAGTATAAACACAGAAAATATTCACCTTCTCCAGAACTTAATATGAGCATTACATATAAATACAAGATATAAAAATTTAGAATATCTGTCTAAATATAGAATGTCTATGTTTTAATAATATGTATAAGTATGTATAAATAATACATATGTGTGTGTGTGTGTGTGAAAAATGTGTGTTTCATTAAAGTTCTATTATATAACCCCTTCATGCATGGATTATGATAACATGAATCAGGATTTTTTTCTGAGATGTTTTTATCCTCCTTGAAGGCTGATAAAAAAAAAAACTATTGCAAACTTTTTTATTTTAAATGCGCATTTTTATTTATTTGTCCATTCAGCTGGACAGCATCTATTTGAGTATTAAATTTGTAAGTAATATGTAATAATAGCCTAATAAATTGAACAACCAATTTTCTGAAAATAAAGGTCAAATTGAAATTTTAATGCTGTTGTGTAATATTTTAACTGCTCTGGGCTGTGGAATAAACAGTTCTATCAATGCAGATGTACTTGTTTTTGTGTTTATACAGCATCATTGCATCTGTTTGCATTTTTTGCTTTACTGAGCTGTGGACTATGGTTTCCAGGGCCCTGGCAGCTGCCATTTACATTGTATGAAAATTTCATAATGGATCACCAGAAGCTCTCCATAATTTGGAAAAATAAATCTCTTTAAAAGGAATGAATATCTTTGCCCTCTACTGTAAAGTTACTACTTTGGAGACTTTGTTTTTTTTTAGATAGACACTGTCTGCTCAGGTACTTTTTTAAAATATTTAATTGATTGTATTTCATAGCTTCCATCTGTGAATTTCTTATTTAGTTTAGTACTGTAGGCAGCTCGGCAGAGCTAGTAGGCAGCCCTGAGTGGACCTGGCAGCACATGATGCAATGATCTATGATTCCTGTTCTAAAACATTGAAATTATACCTGTATTTGTATTATCTACAGTTTATAGATACACTGAGACTGCTGTAAAAGTAAAATCTGTATCTTAAGTACAGTAGAAATGAAATCCCATGTAAACAGTCAAGAGACATGTTTCCTGCAGTCAAGAGACATGGGTTCCATGTGGAGCTATAGACACTAGCCTTACCAGATTAGCTCTAATAATCTTCTCACAATGGAAGCTTTACCCTGGGATTGTGGCTTGCTTAAGGTTTACAAGTGGATTGCACATTGCTTTGTGGTGGGAGGAATTTGTTAGTGACTTTGAGTAATGTTTCAGAAAGCTGTGTACATTGTATATGCACATATATTTAATGTTTCTAATACAAGTGTTTGTTGTGTGAACTGAGTTTGCATAGGACAATGCTATGAATGGAGGACTTTGTAATCAATACTAACTACAGCAATTAATTCAAAAACATACATTTAACTGAGAAGAATTAAGTAAACCTTTTTAGTCTAAACAGAAAGAAACTGATTATCTTTATAGCATTTAATAAAGTAGCAATTGTTCAAGCAAGTGCAAATCTTTTCCTGTGTTCGGTAACTTTCTCACCAACTAAACAAATCCTTTAATTAGAAACATTTTGCAGGATAAAAGCTTAACCACAAGTTGCATGAGAAACAAGTATAACTTACTAATAGCTGTGGCCGCAGTAACTGCTCCATATTTGGCAAGATCATTCGACTTCAGTTCCTCCCACAGCTGAGCAGCAGAGATATACAGATTCATGTCATTTGTCGAGGAGAGCTACCAGTGCTGTTATCCACCTGAACTAACTGCCCTGCTTCCTCATTTAATATGCCTTGTGAGTTGCAATATGGCCATCTAGCACAGAGTGCAAGTAAGTCTAAGCGCCTCCACAGAGTGGCCGGGTTAAGGTTTTATAACCAGATTAGACCGAAGGCCAGAGTGTGCCGAATGAATGAACAAACACCGTCAAACACAAACATTTGGTTGGTGTGCTGTGTTTGACTGTGGAAAGACTGTACAGTGTTCTGTTCTCATTCACTCTGGTTCATTTGGTTTGTCCATTCTTTTCAGGACATTCTAAAGACTGCAGACATCTGAATATTTGTGCTTGTTTGGGTAGCGCAATCAGAGAAATACTGGTGGATAGAAATAAATGTAATAAATTCTGATGAACGGTCATTAGGTGCTAATATATCTTATGCATTGTTTGGGGGAAAATAGCCCCCTTAAAAAATGTCCATTTGCTGTAAAGATAAAACATATATTAGCTAGCATGTAACACTAATGCTCAGTCAGTGAAACTTAACAATTCTGTGTGATTGTGTAATAATTTGGGGGTAAAATGCTTTTACCACTTTTCCCCAGGGGGACTTCTTACCCCAAAGGTATAACATTACATTATCACTAAATAATAAACTTTAATATCACATTATATATACATACATACACACACACACACACACACACACACACACACACACACACACATATATATATACATATATATACCTCTCAAAGCTAACTGTACTGCTTTCCCCACAACCACCATAATCATATTTCTAACTCTATTTTTAACTTAAATCAATTTGAAAAAAATTAGATAATTATAAGCAAAAATAATTCTCAGGAATGCTGTCATCTAGATGAAAATTCATAATTACTAGGCCATAGCCATTAAATAATGGCTAGATTAGCAAGAAAATAATAATAATAGTAATAATAATAATAATAATAATAATATGTTTTACAATGATAAATATATTAATATTATTATTGTAAGTATACTAACAGTATAATGCTGTACAGAATGAGGAAGAACGAAGAAACTAAAGAGATATTATTATGTAGGTCTCAGCATGGGTTGTTATAGAGATTTCTGAGTTTAAAGAACAGCATGGTAGAAATATACTGTGTCCATTAATTTTTAGACAGCTGCTCATCCAAAGTTTCCTCCAAAATCGACATAACTAGTTCTGGATCACAACTCTAACTCATCCTAAAGGTATTAGATGGTGTTTCATCACTCCAGAGTTCCAGTGTTCTACAGCCCAATGCTGGGGTGCTTTATATCCCTATAGCAACATTTGGTATTAGGCACAGTGATATAAAGCTCATCTGCTGCTGCTCCAGAGTTGTATTGCTTTTCTATGGAGATTACAGCTGTGTGTGCACAGTTAAACAACAGTGTCATCAATGGGTGCACCTTAAAGTAACTGAATTCACTAACAGAAGGTGTGTCTGGATAGTTTGGGATATGTAGTGTGTAAACACAGTCCAGCGAGCGAAAGAACAGAGAACTGGTAAATGTTCTCTGTTCTGGATGTTCAGAACCATATCATTATAAAGCAAGAGATCAAGTTTAGCTAGTACGTAAAAACAGAACATTTAAACTTTGTGAGTAGTATGTTGGCCTGGAGACCACTGAAGATGTAATTTACTGGGACCACCCATTGGTTTTTCTGCATAGGCTATAACACAGGTTCCCAGCTCTGGTTCTGGAGTATCCTCTGCCCTGCACATGTTTGTATTGTCCTGCTCTAAAACATGCAGATCAACTTAGGAAGGGTTTGCTAATGTACTGCAGTGTGTTGGGAGCAGGGAAAGCACTAAAATGTGCAGGACAGGGGTAACATAGCCCATTCCAGGGCGAGTGTGGGCACCTCTGGGTTACAAGATACGGACGCTTTAGCCCTTACCTCGAAGTGTACGGTATACTCTAGGCTTGCTTGGCTAGTACGAACCACTTAGTTTTTTACTGTAAGTTAAATGTTCAGCGTGGGAAGGTCTGTCCTCTTCAACTGACTTAGAGGGGAATCTGAAAAAGCCTAAAATCCACAGTATCCATACTGGATGTATCCATTAACGTTAGGTGTTGTAAATCTGTAAAGAAATGAAACGCAGTTTAGATCATTTTACAAATCCATGAATTTAATTTAGCGAATGTGTGCGATGGTCAATATCGTTCGTGTCTGTGTGTAACAGACGATCGACGAGTCTGTCTGGCTGAGTCCGTCTTACTGTTGAAGTGTCCACAGTTAAAGCGTCAGTCTATGCAGGAAAATAAATGTCCCTTTTCAATGTAACAAAACAAGCAACCTTTCACACTCTAACTGTTTTTACTTCGATAAGCTATTTTACATGACTGGTGTAAATACTGTCCGAAAATCAGGTAGTTAAGACAAACTAACTCATCAGTTTTGGTTTTGTCGGTGACTGTTGTAAGATGTGTGTGTCTGTTCTTGGTTTATTCGTCGGGGAAAATGACGCAGACCGTGATTTCGACGTTATTTCTGGCGATGGAGACTCAGTCGCCATCTTAAAACCAGAAGCAGAAAATCTAGCAAGCTGCTAGCTTCTGTGGTAGCTAACCTAGCTAACTAACTTAGCTAGTTAGCTAAAGGGTTTAGCAGAAGAGCTTGACTAGTGTTTGTATTGTCTCGGTTTAAGCTACTTAATTCTTTATAAAATGCCGAAACTTAAGTTAACCTACAACTACACGCAGATTCCTCGCTTTACACAAAAACCCATTTATCTGAGGCGAGTTTTGTGTTGCTAAAAGACAGCTAAACCAGCCAGCCAGCTAACTGGCTCGCTAACGTTAGCTGCACAAGCTATCAACTACTGTTTCCTGTTTAGCTGCCTGTTGTTGGTAACGTTAGCAGTTAACTCCAACACAAATTAGCACTCACTTAATGACAGGATTTATAACCAGTGCGCGAAAGCAACGGAGGTAAAGGTGTGTATCAATGTTACTGGTCATTTTGTTCTGTTGACATAAACCACATTGCAGGATCAAGTTAATCTGAAATGTCAGGCATGACTTCATGAACTGAATAGGAATGGGAACAGATATGACTGGGATGTCAACACTGATGACATGCATGCATCCGTATCCAATACATCGCATGCAAAAATATGTATACTTTTACTCCAGTTTTTCTCTGATTTGGCTGAATTGTTGGAGTGGAATATGAGCTATTAGCCCGCCCTATCCTAAAGATCGTAGCCAATCCGCAGGACAATGAGAAGCCGGGAAGTGACGTTGTAAGGTGGTTAACCTACCGCGGCGCGCAGAACTGCAGAAGGAAAATCATCATCTGCAGATTAAGCTGTGTTTTTCTCCCGATGGCAAAGCGCGCTAAATAGTAACGTGTCCCACGAAGTGTGATGTCTTCTTCTTCTTCTGCTTGAAAAACAGTGTAAGAGGTAAGGTGTTTATTTCTTGTTTCACCTCAAAGCGAAAAGTGAAGAGCGTTTGTTTTGAAGTTGTGTTGAACTGCTGTAGCCAGGGCAGGCTAAGGCTAACCCGTGTAGCACAGCTGGAGGAGGGGCGCTGGAGTGAGCGAGTGGGAGTCCACATGCAGCTAGCAGCGCAGCTAGCCTTTAGCCCCACACACACACACACACACACACACGGAGTGAGTTGTGGGGAGTCGTAGATCGGGAGCCTGTGAGGATCACGGAAAAACAGTTCTGCTGCTAGGAAATAGCTAGCGTTACACAAGCACAGCTCGGTCAGCATGGAAGACAACATTGCGATCGATCTGTTGTGCTTTTTTGTATGTTTAGAGTACGTTTGCGCTTGGAAGGAGAAAAATCGGAGTCTAATGACAGCGTTATCTACATTTGTCCCCTGTTTTGTTTACTCTATTTAAATCACTTAACTAATGTTTCACTAGTTCGTTTTATGGTAAAGGACATTTTGGTGTTCTCTCTAACAGAAGTTCCTCTTAACAATACTTACATGACACAAAGTTGGACATTTAAGCCGTGTATGATCTTATTTAGTATCTTTTTGTCAGCCTCCCTTATGGAATATGCAGATGTGGCAATACTGACTACTAGGGCTGCACGATTATGGCAAAAATAATAATTACGATTATTTTGGTCAACATTGAGGTTACAGTTATTTAACATGATTACTCATTGACTTTGAAAACATTGTGCATTTATGGAACTACGAAAAATGTCTTTTTAACAGTGGGTATCATTGAACTTAATTCTAGTTCAACTGAAGAATAAATAAAAAGTGCAATACAGTACAAAACACAGTAATTAATATATAATATATGAATATATGTATGTAGATACAAATATGCATGAATATATATATATATATGTGTGTGTGTGTGTGTGTGTATATATATATATATATATATATATATATATATATATGCTTGCAAATAAATATGTAAAAATAATACATAAATAAGGTCAAAATAAACAAGATAATTTATGTTACAGTGCATTTTCACAGCCTTCTGAAAACTACTAAACAAATAAACGTAATAAAATCAATTCGACCAAAATAAATTCGATGAATTTGGCTGCTGTAAAGGGAAAGAGTGTGCTGGATTTATAACACAACACAAAACGAGAGTATCATTGTGAAACAGAATGCACCACAAAAATTGTTTTATCTCTGTTATCTTGTTTCCTTAATTGTTGGAAGTCAAAGTTGTAATTGAAAATAAAATTCAGTTAATTTCCCAGCCCTATTGACTACTCAATACCCACTTTCTGTACTGACTGGGGATTGTATGTGTTCTAATGTTACAAGCTCTTGCTGGATCCACAAGTAAAATATCTTTATATCTCATAAGTGTTTTTATAGTTTTTTATAGACTTTGTGGAACATGGCTGAGTCAGAATTCTACATGCAGTGTGAGGAGGAAGACCTTGCGCCTTGTCAAAGCATCGCGGATGAGACGATTCTAACAGTGGACATAGACAGTACAGGTTAGCAAAAACTACTTAACATTGATGTGAATGTGAAGACTTTATGAAAAAGCTTAAAGCATTTTATGTTGATTTTAATATGAACACCTTTGTTTTTCCAGCGCCAAACGGACATGTAGTTGTCTCGCCAGTGCCCTCTGA